AAAAAAAAAAAAAAAAAGAAACACACACATACCACTCCCGATATTAGAGGAGTAGTTAGTCCCCAGTTTGGATGCCAGTTGTTGTCTTTAAGATCAGGCCCTTAATTGCAGTGCTAACAATTTTGAGGGAAGCATAGCTTACTCTTCATGGGGTAAATCTATAAAAAATGCTTTATATCTGTCTAACAAGAAAAAAATTAATACAAACATTCATTCAGACTTGTCTGTAATACAAGAATGAGGTGTAAGGAAATAATGTTTAAATATTAAGCATGATGTGCTACTAAGCCTTAAGGCTTAATGGAAATCTTTCTTTGTTACACTCCATGTTCTATTAAGTAGGATTTAAGTGACGGTATTGTAACAATCCATTGTACAGAGAATCAGTCCCATGTTAAAGAATTTTAGTTTAAGATAGTCATAGAAAAAAGAATAGATTGAATTAAAGGCCTCTAACAACCTTTATCTGTTTTATTTCAACTGTACAGTTTGGCTATTTTGCTTTAGGATTTGGTTAAGCAGTTGAAAATTAAATAAATATTTTTTTATTAATACTTTTTTAAAAAACATTTTAAAATTTATTTTCATTGAATATACTTTTACGATTCTAATTTTCATTCTCTTGAATTCTAAACTCTTGTTTTCTTTTATTAAGGATACGGGAAATGCAATGTGTTTTGCACTATTAAAATTTTGTAATTACTGTTTTTCTAATACTTAATTATGCCTCCTGATTTTTGTTTTTCCATCCTTAACTTTTCCTGATAGTAAACCACATAAAATTTTAGCTTCATAGTTCATTAATGACGTATCATTCTGTAACTAAAATGCATTGATTGAACTGAAGTGGTAATGTATGATGGTTTTAAAAAAATTGATACTAAATTAGTGCTTGATGGATAATTTTCTAGATGGAAGTTACACAGTTAGTGCTTCCATCCAACCACTCAGTTTAATTCAACTAATTAATAAATAAATTATTAGTTTAACCTCAGAATTCTATGTTAATATTTAATGTGAATGATTTTGGAGTTCTGATATTAGTGGTAGCTATCAACACCTTATAAAAGTAAATTATGACAATTATTCATAGGCAGAAACCTAAACCAGTTACCATCAAGGTGATTCCAACTCATGGTGACCCCATGTGTGTCATTGTGAAATGTATTCCATAAAGTTTTCAGGGATTGATGTTTCAGTAGTTTACCAGGTCTTTCGTCCAAGATGCCTCTGGGCATGTTCAAACCACATAACGGTTCAGTTAGTAGCCACAGTTTACCTTGTTGTTACATGCCATCAAGTCAGTTCTGACTCATAGCAACCCCGTGTAGGGTTGCTGAGGAATGACTGGTGGATTCGAACCACCAACTTCGCTGTTTAAATGATTTTGAAGTCCACTGCTTATCCTACACTGCCACATCGTTGTTGTTGTGATGTGCCATGGAGTCGGTTTCGACTCATAGCGACTCTGTACAGGGTTTCCGAGGCTGTAAATCTTTACAGGAGCAGATCACCTCATCTTTCTCCCGCTGAACAGCTAGTAGTTTCCAACTGCTGACCGTACAGTTCACAGCCTGATTCGTAACCACTGTGCTACCAGAGCTCCTTCAGTGCCACATTACCAAGGCTTATATTCATAAGTAAGTCTTAAAACATGTGGCAGCAATGCTTCATTTGTTGATAGTTTTAATTAACTTGATTGAAATTGAAAATGAAGAATCCAGAAAAAGACCCTTGAGAAATTAAAAAGTAGGACCCACATGCATGTTCTTAGCTCAGGTGTCAGACTTAAATTCATTCTGTTTATTCTTAATTTACATGGGGTTTTAATAGGGCTTGGTTTTTCTGATTTTCTAAGTAACAGAAATAAAAAACAGGGATAGTATGCCTCTAGTCTAAAACAGGTGCTCAGGTTTCATTAAAAAGAAATACTGTTTGGACATTGGATACCCAAATGGGGAGGGGGGTACTACAAAGGCAAGAAGTGACTGGCTTACAAGCCTTCAAGAGGGAACCTAATGCCAGGGAGCATGGAGGAAGGCAGAATCTCCAGTAGGTACTACTCAATCTGTCTGGGCGGAGCTGATGAAAGGAAATACAGACAGGTAACTCATGATACTATAGTGAATAATGCTTATCAGGACGGATTATGAGGGTTGGAAATGCAAAGATAGAAGTTTTGTATAACAAGGAAGGGAGTGATTAATTCTCCAGGCTAGGAGCAGAGGTCTCTGGGACCATCAATGGAGAATAGCCGAGAGCTGGACCCTACCCAGAGAAACAGAGATGTCTGAGATAGAGACAGAGACAACAAATGAAGCGGCTGGGGACTTTGGACCCAGAGAGGGAAAGGGACTGTGGGCTGAAAAATGGGGGGTGGGGGAGGGGGAAGTGTAGGGGGTGGGTTTCTAGGATATACCCTTTGGTTGGTTGATGATGCATGGAGGGGATTGGAACCATGGCAATGAAATGATATATGATGGAATGAATGTAAGACTAAAGTTCTCCCATGTAAACTATCATATGATTCAAAATAAAACATTAAATAAAAAAAAAAAATACTGTTACTGATTTTTTTTTGTATCTTTGACTTTGCTTTCTTTTTAAACAGTGTAATTAATCCTTGTATAAAGATAAAATGTGATAAATGAAATTGTTTTAAAAGAAATAGCTGACTTTTTTACAAGGAGATAGAAAAAGTTTTAAATGATGTGTAAGTCTTAGGTATCTTGGTTCATTTAAATATAGGGCAAAGCAACACCTGAGGCATTTCCTCTAGGTTAAAAAGTCTGTTTTTAATGATGATTCCTGAGTAATAGAAGATATAATCAGATGTATTATCCTTTGTTAAGCAGGGATATATAATATACTTCAGAAAACTCAAGGGTTGAAACACAAAACTGGTCTTTATTTTTAATTTAAGCATCAGCTTTTGCAAAGCCTTCATTTTCATCTATAGGTTATTTACTATATTTAATGCAAATCTTTGTGTCTTTTATCTTTTTCCTTGTATTTTGTTTCTTTGTCTACCTTTATAGGTGCTATACTAAAATAAAAATACAGCTTGCATTGTTTATACCTGTTTTGAAAATAAGTGAAGCGCATTATAGTCAAAGTAATTCATTTTTTCCCCAGGTGCTACAAAGTACACAGATAAAGACAATGGAGGGATGCTTGTATGGTCTCCCTATCACAGTATCCCCGATGCCAAATGTAAGTTCTTTGAAATTAAATGTTTCTGTGAACAGCAGTCTATCAATTGATTAAAAATACAACCTGTGTGTGTTTTGGGACATCTTAACTTTCTTAAAAGAGTTTTGTCTTGTGATTTTTTTTGTTTGTTTGTTTGCTATTTGCTGTTTTTCTATTATTATTATTTTTTTAATGGAGGTGGTTATATTAGAGTAGTTTTCCTTTTGAAAGATAGTGGGCTGATCATGCCAATTTGTGTCAGGCCCGTGAAGGGTGAACAAACTTAGGATCTTATGGCACTGCTGCTTAAATCCTCAGGCAGGAGAGGGAGTTACTATGTATGTAGACATCTGCACAGGTTTTTCCTCAGTATATGGAGCTGTAAAGACATGCCATCAAAGTTCCAAGAGCCCACTATCATTACCTTTTTAAAGAGAAAAGGGAAAAGAACTGAGTTCAGCAGCCATCAGGTCGTCTTTGTGCTCCATTTTTGGACGGAGACCTTCGGGATCCTTGACCATGCACTTCTTGACTTTAGAATTCAGTGTGACTTTAGACTTCAGTGTGATGTAGTGGACCTGATCCTTTGAGGCACATCAGATTTAGGAAACATACAGGTAACAATGCTAAGACCCCCCACCCCTCCATTTCATTATGGAATTTATGAAACAGCACTGAAAGCAATCCTGGTAGCTGTAAAAGAAGCTTGTTTGTATAAATACCAGCATCTCTAAGATATCACATAATTGTTATTTGTTGTTGTTGTGAAGTGCTGTCGAGTTGGTTCCGACCCATAGCGACCCTGTATAGGGTTTCCGAGGAGCATCTGGTGAGCTTGAACTGCCAATCTTGCAGTTCAAATGGCTTTGCAGTATGGCACAAATGGCTTTGCAGTATGGCACATTAACCCACAGCGCCACACCAAGACTCCTAATTTGTTATTTAGTCCCCTGAAAATTGATGATCTCCTGTGTCATGTGCTTATTAATAAGTCTAATCATACTCATTGATGCGTTAAAATGTCAACTAAAAATTGACAACTGAATATGCTTCTATATACCTGTAATTCTTCCTCTTTAAGAGATTTAGAGCGCTACCACCAACAACATAGTGTAACTGATGATCTAGGAAGCATATGCCCCTGGGCATTCTTAACAGAAAATGTGAAATTGTTTAGTTGGCCTGGGACTGTGTGTTCAGAAACCTGAAAGAGACAATCAGGATCCTCTGGTCTGGTCCTCTCATTACATCAAAGGTTTTCATTCACAAACTAAGCATCAGCATCATTGAATTTTGCTGTTTTAGCATTTTGTTTTCTGCAGTGGTGCATTTTTAGCAAAGTGGAAAACAAAAATCAGAGAACTAATGTGCTGGTAGCATAGTGATCGTATGGAATATTTAATTTAAGATCCAGGGCTGTGGTTTTTCAGACCTGGCTGTGTATAGTAATTACTTGAGGATCTTTTTTAAAAACTATTAATGTCAAGTGTGTTGTTGCTGTTAAGTGCCATCAAGTCGGTTTCAACCCATAGTGACCCTGTACAGGGTTTCTGAGCCTATAAATCTTCATCTTTCTCCCATGGAGCCACTCGTAGTTTTGAACTGCTGACCTTAAGGTTTGCAGCCCGATTTGTAGCCACTACGCTACTAGAACTCCTTAATGTCAACTATATCCCAGACTAATTAAATCATCAGTGGGTAGGGACTGGACATTGTATTTTTCACAAGTTCTCCCAGTGACTATGCATAGCCAGGGTTGAGAACCACGGGTCTGTTGCTATTGTTTAACCTTCTATAGGATTTTAAGACATTTTTGTTAAAGTTAACCAGCATTTACTTTACTTGTGTATTTTAGGTGCTGTAGATTCTAAATAAAGTGTATTATCGGAATTTTCTGCACTGAAAGTTTAGTCTTGGGGAGATGTTAAGTACTGATTCATAGTGACCCTGTAACATCCATATAAAAAAAAAAAAAAAAGTTATACTAGCATGTTCTTGTTGTTAAGTGCTGTCAAGTAGTTTCTGACTCATAGTTCCCACGAAGATTTAAAGCCTAGAAACCGCTATACAGGGTCACTGTGAGTTGACGACACTTAACAACAATGTGCCAGGTACTGATCTAAGCAATTTATATATACTAACTTATTTAATTGTACGAGGAAGCTACTGGTTTTTCCACCATTTTAGAAAGCGGAAACAAAACCCAGTGCCAGAGAGTTAATTCTGATCTATAGTAACCCTATAGGACAGGAAAGAACTGCTGATCTATAGTAACCCTATAGGACAGGAAAGAACTGCTCAGAGGGTTTCCCCCCTTTTGCCCATTCCAACCATGTCTCAATCCCTGTATCCCAGGGTCCTGTTGCTCCGAGGTTGTACATACATCATTATTTACCTCTGTGCCATGTAGCCTATGCAGTCCTGCCCAATTGTTTTTCCATCCGCCTTGTTCTTCATTCCCCTCCTCCTTCTTGTGTATTGCCCCCCTCCCTAGCACCCAAACTATCCTGTGTCTGTTCCCTATCCCGTGATCCACCTTCCCTCCCCTCACCCCACTCTCCAAACCCCGGTAACCAGCCAAGAATCCCCACCCCCCACCCCCTTTATTATGGGTTCTTTTTTTTCAGTCTTATACAGTAGTGGGCCTATGCAATGTTTCTCCTTTTGTGACTAATTTCACTCAGCGTAATGTCCTCAAGGTTCATCCATGTTATGTGATAGTTTACTGCTTCCTTGTTCTTCAAGGTAGCACAGTATTCATTGTGTGTATGTACCACAGTTTGTTTATCCATTATTCAGTTGATGGGCACTTAGACAGTCTCTATCTTTTTGCTATTGTAAATAGTGCTCCTATGAACATTGGTGTAAACATATGTATTCGTGTTATGGCTCCTATTTCTTGTGGGTAAATACCAAGACTGTCTCTATCTTTTTGCTATTGTAAATAGTGCTGTTATGAACATTGGTGTGAACATATCTATTCGTGTTATGGCTCCTATTTCTTGTGGGTAATTACCAAGTAGAGGAATTGCTGGATCGAATGGTATTTCTATTTCCTACCTTCTGAGGAAGCGCCATATTGCTTTCCAGAGAGGTTGGACCATTTTGCAATCCCACCAGCAATGCAGGAACGTCCCAGTCTCTCCACATCCTTGCCCGCATTTATTGTCCTCTACTTTTGTGATCTTTGCTATTATTGCTGGTGTGAGATGATATCTCATTGTTGTTTTGATTTGTATCTCTCTAATGGCTAGTGATCCATGAACATTTCTTTATATGTTTATTGGCTGCCCAGATCACCTCCTTGGTGAAGTGTCCATTCATGTCCTGTGCCCATTTTTTGTCTTTTTCTTTTAGAGGTGTTGTGTTGTTGTTGTTGTTAAGTGCCATTGAGTCGGTTCTGACCCATAGCTACCCGGAACAGGGTTTCCGAGGCTATAAATCTTTACGGGAGCAGAAAGCCTCATCTTTCTCCCGCCAAGCAGTTGAAATGAGTCCCTTGTCTGATGTGTCATTGCAAAAGATTTTTTCCTATTCTGTGGGTTCCCTTTTTACTCTTTTGGTGAAGCCTTTTGATGCACATAGTTTTTAATTTTTAGTATGTTCCAATCATCTATTTTGTCTACTTTTGTTTGTATGTTGTTGTTGTTGTTAAGTGCCATCGAGTCGGGTCCGACTCATAGCGACCCTGTACAGGGTTTCCGAGGGTGTAAATCTTTACGGGAGTAGAAAGCCTCATCTTTCTCCCGCGGAGCGGCTGGTAGTTTGTATAGTTTTCAAAATGTTTGGTAGTCTGTGTATTCCCTGAAGTAGTGCCCTCACATTTGTCCCTATGTTTTCATTGATGACCTTCATAAGTTTGGTATTCACATTTAGGTTTTTAATCCATGCTGAGTTGATTTTTGTATAAGGCGCAAGGTAAAGGTCTTGTTTCAATCTTTTGCATATCGCTTTCTAGTTCGCCAGCACTGTCTGTTGAAGTCGGAGAATGAGAGGTTTCCAACCTTATTCTTCTTAAGCAGTGCTTTGCTTATCCTAGGTCTCTTTCCATTCCATATAAAGTTTGTAATTGTTTTTCCATCTCGTTGAAGAATGTCATTGGAATCTGGATTGGGATTGCATTACATGTGTAAATTGCTTTGGACAATATTGACATTTTCATGATATTAAATCTTCCTATCCAGGAGCATGGTACATTCTTCCATTTTTGTAAGTCTCTTTTGCTTTCTTGTAGTAGTGTTTTGTAGTTTTCTTTGTATAGGTCCTTTGTTTCTTTGGTTACATTTGTTCCTAGATGTTTCATCCTTTGGGTAGCTATTGTAAATGGTATTGCTTCCCTAATGTCCTTTTCAGTGCTGTCATTTTGGTATAGAGGAATCCAACTGATTTTTGTATGTTGATCTTATATCCTGCCACTGTGCTGAATCTTCCAATGAGGTCTAGTAGCTTTTTACTGAGTTTTTTAGTTTTTCTATGTATAGGATCATATTATCTGCAAATAGAGTTTTACGTCCTCTTTACCAATTTGGATGCCTTTAATTTCTCTATCTTGTCGTATAGATCGTGCAAAGACTTCCAGCACAATATTGAATAGGTGTGGTGACAGAGGGCATCCTTGTCTGGTTCCTGTTCGCAGAGGGAAGGCTTTCAGTTTCTCTCCATGGAGAATAATATAGGCTGTTGGTTTTGTATATCTGCTCTTGCTTATGTTGAAGAATTTCCCTTCAATTTCTACTTTGTTGAGTGTTTTTATCAGGAATGGATGTTGGATTTTTGTCAAATGCTTTTTCTGCATCAATCGATATGATTATGTGGTGCTTTTCTTTTTCTTATATATATGGATTATGTTGATTATTTTTCTGATGTTGGACCATCCTTGCATACCTGATATGAATCCCACTTGATCATGATTTATAGTCTTTTTTGATGTGCTGCTGGATTATTTTGGCTAGGATTTTGTTGAGAATTTTTGCATCTATATTCATAAGGGATACTGGTCTCTGATATTCTTTCTTAGTGAC